ACCTTTGTCCATGGATTCTAACCATTCATCGGTAACCTTCAATAGAGAAGTCATAGTTGAATGCATCTTTCGAAAACCAGACTGCTGTCGGCTCAAAATCTCATGTTCATTCATGTATAATTTCAGTTGTTTACAAACAAGTTTTTCTAGAATTTTAGAAACAGTCGGCAAAATGGATATAGGTCTGTAATTACATGGATCTTCTTTATTTCCTGATTTAAATATTGGAATCACTTTGGCTGTCTTATACTGGTTTGGAAATTTAGAGTCAAGCAGTGATTTATTGAATAAATAAGTAAGATAAGGGGCAATAATTGGAGCTGACATTTTCAACAACCCTATAGAAATACCATCAGTACCACAAGCAGACTTGTTTTTCATAAGTTTGATCTCTTTTTGAACTTCCTCCACTGTGATCATTTGGAAATTGAAACAAGAATCTGTATGATCGTCAAAAATAACTGAATCACTTGCTTCGGGTATTTTGGAAGCTAAAACCTTGCCAACATTTGCGAAATAATCATTGAATTGTTCACTTCTTTGATGTAAATGTTCTTCATTAGAAAAGGTTGATTTCATTGAATTGTTCGAGGGTAATAATGACTTCAATACAGACCAAGTATTTCCAGCATTGGTTTGAATTTTTGTCAGTTGATCAGTGTAATATTTTTTCTTGGCTTTTCGAATGTCAAAAGTCACTTTATTTCTCAATTTTCTATAATCTTTCATTTTTTGTTCATCTTTAGCTTTCCATGCCTTTTCTTTTAATTTATTTCTCTTTTTAATGAGATTAAAAATATCTGAGTTCATCCAAGGAGATTTTCTAATCTTCATTCTTTTCTTTTTGACTGGCATATACCGATTAACGACATTCATGAATAAACTCTCCCATTTGCTGATAGCCAAGTCAATATCATTAATATCTAAAACTTCAAACCAAGGCTGATTTTTTAAACTTTCGAAGTATGAGTTCAGATCAATTCCTGATTTTTTCCTAAAATTTACAGTTTGAGGATTTCCACTGTGTTTTGATTTCCAAATGATATAACTCAAAGAATGATCACTGATACCTAGGTGTATAACACCATGACTAAAAACCTTCTCTTTTTTATTTGTTAGAGTGTGGTCAATAAGGGTTGATGAATCGGATGTTATCCTGGTAGGAATTTCAGTATTGATCTGTTCTAGTGAATATACATTATGGATTTCATTAAGACGTTTTGAATTTGCAGACAATGGAACATTCAATAAATCACAGTTTGTGTCACTCATAACAATAATGGGATAGTTAAAACTGTCAAGAAATGATAGCATCTCTTCATAGTATTGTAAAGTCTCAATGTTACTATTGGGAGGTCGGTACCACGTGAGGAAAATTAAAGGTGTAGAACATTTAGGTTGAATCATTACAGGAATTATTTCTAATGAAGAAAACAAAGTATCATATTTAATCAAATCAAATGACAAGGAACTGTGAATATATACAGCCACTCCCCCACCATGTCGGTTTCTGTCTTTTCGAACAAGGTGAAAATCATCAATATCAAGTTCACTATGGAAAACTGAGTCATCAAGGAAAGTTTCATTTAACGCTAATATATGAACTTGATTGTTATGCAAAAACGATTTAATCTCTTCAAGATTTCGATAAAGACTGCGAATATTAAGATGGGCCAATTTAATTCCCTTACTTTTAAAACAATCGTATTGCACTGAACAAAAATTATCACATGAACTCTTATCCTTGACTATGTCGTCTTCACATGGTAAGTTGACTGTATTATCACAGCTCTTATCAATTGATGGTAAATGAGTAAAAAGACACTTCGTACATTGCCAATCTATGAAATGATGTGTTACATCATCATATAAAGCATTGCTTATGAATTCACATTTTGTATGAGCCCACTGATTGCAAAGTGTACATTGTAAAGCCCTTTGCTTACATGTTACATTAACAGAGCATTTAGAACAAGGGTACTGCCTAACCATTTAGCCCCTTATAAAAGTATAATACAGAAATATATGGAAAATACAAAGTTTATATACGGAATAAACTGATCTGCTACATCTGCTCCACAGCGAACGTCTTGTATGAGCCAAGATTATTTCCACTCACTTTGTCTTTAGCATTGAAAGAACACGTAATACAAAGCTTTTAAATATTCAGAATCTGTCTTACCCTGACGCAACCATTGATCTAATGAGTGTATTGCTTCTACCTAGGATAGAACAGTGGCACAAAGTCATGTGACCGAGATATAAGTTTTAAAAGAACTGTTTCTAACTACAGCTGGCCATTTCATTTTAGGGGTTAGGATAAGCCCCCCCCCCCCCCTGAAACGATTCAATGGATTGAAATCACAAGGAATGTCAATGCATTCATTTATATTCATGATAAATATTTCACAAATAGAGCAACGGAGCACATCTTTTGTCAACGCTCCTACATTGTGTGTTTTGGGGACAATTACTCTGTTTTTCTACTTGCCATATGCATGCACTGTATGCATGCATGAGTGAAAATGTTCTTGAATTTGTGTGCAAATTTAGGCCAAGTGAGCATCAGTTTGACGTTGGATGACATACAACTACAGGCCATCTTGATTTGCACTTTAATACAAATATTACGATTAATACAGGTTGGAGGAATTTGTTATCAGCTTTATTTTTGGCTTCATATTACGAATGTTAAAATCGCAACATACAGGTATGTAAAGTGAGCTGTAAATTTGATGTATTTTATCTTTGCTTTGAACAAGGTTGGTTTCATATAAGGAAGGGGATGAAAAATGTCTAAAATTGTAATAATGCAAACAAAAAGAAAAACAGTTGCATGTGAGATGGGGTATGTATGTCTTATTTGACAGTAGACAGATGATAATTCACATAATGGATCCACTTATAAGAAATCTTTCAGAAATATAAGGTCCTACAACATGAGATGAAATATCTCACACTGTTTGTCTCTTTTTCTTTCTTCGTGTCTCTATCTCTCACTGCCCGAATTGCGTCATTATTTGGTTGGCATGGCACCCGAATAAAACCTTATTTATTGTATTTCTATATCGAAATGAAATGTATGCCACAACAACATTTTCTTTTTATACCACTCGTGGATTTACTCATCGAAAAATTGATAAATCATATTGATTCCTGGCCAGGAGATGACTGAAGACAATTTTTTGCTCGATTGCTCGCAATATTTGGGATCCGGGCAATATCTTTTCAGACGAGAGACCCTATTTACAATGGACAATATATAAAAACGCATGTACCTTATTAGCTAACGTACCACATAAAGAAAAACAATATTTACTTTGAAGTTAACATTAACCTCATGGGATAAGACTAGATGATACTTGGTTGTTTCCATACATACAATTATAATTGTTCATAACCAAGTATGAGAAGCGATTTAACATCACAATACTTACAGTGCCGTGACTCGTTTTCTATGAAATTTTTATTCTCATATATTCCCTCGACGTTAGACAACAGAATACTTCCCTGTGAGTATCATAATTGACCAAATACTTTATGGTGATATTGACGGAATGGTTTCAATATGTTTTAATATTAGATAGCTTAGACAGATACCGATATGTGATTGGTCCAGAGCTCGTCACGTGATATCAATTGCAAGGATCCAAATTGTTATATTTTCCTGGCCGGTTATATTTTACCAGCTGGTGAAATAAATATATTTTTAATAAATGCATGTCGCCCTCTTGAATACCGAGGGTCATTTAAAAAAAAAATGTTTTTCATGATTTTTTTTTTCCCCTTGAAAATCTTTTTTTCGAATATTTCTTTTTTTTTCCCAAAAAATGATTTTGGGGGGCAAGAATCTTTTTTTTTCTCCCTTGAAATTATTTTTTCCCTAATTTTTTTTTTTTTTAGGATTTTTTTTTTTTTCTTGAACTATCTCGAAATATTTTTTTTTGTGTTCACTTCTTTTTCCACAATCTTAATTGTCCCCGAAAAAATATGGACCCCCCCCCCCTCCCCCCCCCCCCAAAAAAAAAAAATCAAACCAAGGCTATCTAATATAACAGTTATTGACTGGCAGGGGTATATAACACCACTTGAGAAATATAACTCCCTTCAGCGGTCCAAATAATGTTATATTGCACCCCTTACCAGTCAATAACTGTATAATTTAACACTACATTGTATGATGTGCTGGAGTATGAGGTTAAACGCTAACTATAAAATGCGTCGTAACATTGGTTGAAAACACCAATTTAGGACTAAGTCTGATCCAATCAAAAGGTTTTTTGATTTTATAACACCTTTTTCTCGCAGTTGTAACGCGTTGCATACATTGACCTTATATTATGCTTCGGCCATTGATAATATCACTTAATATCAAGAACACTGCCATTAAAGCGTGCATACGATCCTAAACCTATGTAAAGAACAAGATCAACATGTCAATTTTGCTTTCAATCATTAATTCTTGAATTAAAAATAATTCTTGCAAATCATATTACTAAATTGTGAATTCCATTCTGTCTCATCACGAGAAAGACTTTCAAAGGTTCAAACGTTTTGGGCAATGCATGTATAATGTAGGTCACGACCGCATATACTGACACAATATATATATTTAATTTATTTGTTATTTGCTCTCAGTGCATTATTTTTGTCAATATAATATATAATATATTGTTGCAACGTGCATGAGGACATATTGATAATGAAAGTAATTTTACTAATCATATTTCATTCTCTTCTTTTCACTCTGTCCGTCCCTCTTTCTTTCTTCTTCAATCCCCTCTTTTAATCTCCGTTTTTTCTTCACTTGGTTCTCATCCTTTTTCTCTCCCTCCGTGGCTCCTCCATCCCTCCTAACGTTCCCTCATTCTTTCTCCCTTCCTTTCCTCCCTGTCTATCCCTTCCCCGTTCATCCAACCCATAATTCCCCCACCCCCCCCCCTCTCTCTCTCTCTCTCTCTCTCTCTCTATTTCTCTCATCATAATTGTTCTTTCTACAGGTCAATACTCTGATCAAGATGGCGGCAAACTTCAGCTCAGCAGAAAACATCTGTGAAGGAGAGAACTGTCAATCAATCACAGATGTGACGTACTACGTGAAGGAGAAAAAGAAGCTCTGCGATGACTGCGCCTCCAAAGAGGAATGCATCGGAAAAGCTAGAAAGGGTAGGCACAATCTTTATTGTGAGAAGCATGATGGTGAAGAAATCAAACTGTATTGTAAAACCCATAGTATAGCAGTGTGTCAATTATGCGCAACGATAGATCACCGTGCCATGTCTTGCGAACAACAGGATATAGAGGGCGCCATTATGGATAGTAGAGCAAGACTAAACATTCTAAAAGAAAAGGCAAAGGACAAATTGGAGATTTGTCGAGTTTATGGAGATCAGATTCATAAGTGTAGAAAAGACACCGACACCCATCTACAGGCTTTGAAAGATGAAGTTGATTCGGTAATCAATAAGGCGATCAAAACAGAAAAGGACAAAGAGAAGGAGGATGCTGCAAAAATCAACCAGGAGACTGATGAGAAGAATACCAAACTTCACGAGGAGATTAAACAAATCAATGAAAAAATTCGAAAAAACGACGAGGAGAGAGAAAATCTACTTGAACTGAACCGTACAAATGCAGAGAGAAGACGAGAACCAATCGGCAACAAACAGCATGTTCTGCAAACAGACATTAAAAACATCGCTGAAGAGAAAGAGAGAAAGATTGGACAGTTAGAGATATCTTGGCAAGATAATACAAAAACCACAGAGACCACAATACAGACACTTGATACAATACTGAAAGATGATTCAAATGTCGTCAAAGACGGGCAACGTGTGAAGACATCGGTGAGTGATGAACTAAAGAAGCCACTGAATGAGGGTGAAGTGAAACAAGTCACTGATACCATATCGGGTGTGAGGTTTGTGAAGGGTGCTGGGAGAGAGAAGTATGATGGGAGGATTGATGGGTATGATGGGGAATGGACGCTCATTGATACAATCAATGTCAGTGATGAAATCAAATACCCGGCCATTGCAGGATGCATAGATGAATGCGATGTGATCATTACAGATAAAGATCTGAGTGGACAAGATACATACATGTTCAATATGAACACTAAACACACTCAGAGAGTGATAACCAATGTTATGTCATGTGTTGTCTCTTGTGCATTGCTGAATGATGACAAGGTTGTATGCGGTAAATACAGTCCTCAGACTGGTGGTAGTTATACAGGGGACAGTTTGACTGGATTCATCAATGTGTATGACAGACAATGGGACCACATCAATGACGTCACAATACCAATAAACACACCGCGTTATTACACGCGGGTGGATGTAGCTGTTGACCAGATTGGGATAATCATCGCTGCTGAGGAAGGTCAGTCCAAGATATACGTCATCAACCCAGCTGATGGTAAGATCATGCATACCATCACATGTAAACAGGGTATACTGATACGTGGTGTACTATCATCAGGTCACATCGTCGCTCAACCCTACCCACCAGAACACAGAGTGTTCATCATCGACAGAAAGGGTGCTCAAAGGGAAATCACCCACAGTGGTCTCATTCTGAATACCTGCATCGATCCTATAACAGACGACCTCTACGTCGTGACATCAGATGATGAGTGCAAGACGTGTGTGATTGATCAGGTGATGAGTGGAGGTGACATGGATAAGAGAAGAGTAGCATCATTCCCTCTATCAAGTAGATGTCATCCACTACAGAACAGGCTGACTCACCTTGTAACATCTCGCGTGGTGATGACGTCATCAGGGAATATGATTGCTTGCGATGTAGACAACATTCTCGTATTCAAAAAGTTATTGAGCCTATAGAGTACCGAAGCTGTGACATCATAACAATCTATTTTTAGAATTTCTCAATTTTTTTGTTCATTTTCTAATAGAGCATCAACAATAATGTCCAATTGTAAACAAAACACCAATTGAATATGTTAAGTATTGGCTAAAATATAACCATCTGAATAAAAAGATTTCCTATAGGAACTCAGTGATATTTTGCTCTGGTTCATAACATTACGAACCAAAGCAAAATAACACTGAGCTCTTAGGCCACCGTCCCACCCGCTTCCTTTTTGGGGGCCACCTCCTTTTTTTTCTTTTTAGTTTGTTGATTTTTGTTGATTTTTTTTTTTTGAAGTAACAAAAAACATGAAAAACACTGCTAAAATTGATCTATTTCTAATAGGAAAAAACAAAAAATGTCGGCGGCCATCTTGTAAAATAGCCCGAAAAAAGAAAGAAAAAAAGGGCTTCCTCCTTCCTAATTTTCAAAAAAGCAGGACGCTATACATGTTTTTTGTTTTTGTTTTTGTTTTTGTTTTTTGGGGGCGCCTCATAGGAAATCTATTTATTCAGATGGTCATATCTCAGCCAACATATTCAATTGGTTTTCGACATTTGGAAATCATTTTCGATGCTCATTTGGAAAATGAAGCAAAAATTAAGACATTCTAAAAAGTTTTTAAAAATTGATGACGTCACAATTCACCACTCTGTGAAGGCCCGTTCACAATTGACGCGGTAAACCGGTTTTTGTTTCTTTTTAATTTTTTGGTTCATGTGTGTGTTTATCTGTATTTTTTGTTAAAGACGTAATTGTAATGCGCTTCACATGTATGCATCTTAATAACACAGAGATCAGTTAATACGCATAGGAAATCTGTTGAGCGTAGTTTCCATTCATTTACACATTAAAAAACTCTGCCGTGGTATATCAAAAGCGCGTATGCAGGGGGGGGGGGGGGTTCCCTTTTGAATTTGTTATTGTGTGTTTTGGTGGAACTCCCCCCCCCCCCCTCCACCCCTACTTTGTTTTTGTTTTTTAATAAAAACAAAATAATAATAATTTAAAAAAAAAAAAATTGTGGTAATGGGTGACCCAAGAAAGCTGACCGTACCACCCCCTCAACAAAACGAAATATCGATCCGCAAAATTGAATCCCCCCCCCCCTTTTGAACTTTTTAATGTGTGTGTTTTGGTGGAACCCCCCTCCCCCCCCCCCCCCCCACCCTCACTTTTTTTTTTTTTTTTTTTTAATTTAAAAAAAAGTAAATAAATAAATTGTGTACATATCAGTTTGTGACGGTTATTTTGTTAATTGTAATCTATAATGAATATAGCTACATTATACTTAGTATGTGTACGAGTGAACTTTGTTGATGCTACGTGTTACTAAGAAACTTGATAGTTTATGTAGGACCTATTTTGAAGGAAAAAAACAATGCTACACCAATGAAAATGTGCATGTCTTTGTCATTTGTTTGTTTATTTTGTTGGTGTTAGTTTCTTTTCAACACGTCCTAATTTGTAAATAACTACATACTTTATGCAGGACCTTTTTTTGACAAAGCAGATGATATAACAATGTCTGAAAAGCAAGTTACTTGTTTTAGTTGTTTGTTTGTTTTAACTTGTTTTGTGTTTTGTAATCTACATATATATCTAAATTAGCTACATTATACTAAATATATCGAAGATTGAAATTTGAATTGATAATTGTTCTTGTTATGAAAAATAAAAGACATATATGTTACATGTAAATCCTTGATATGATTTTAATGAAAAAATGATATAATTCAAAAATTGCGTGTTTCCGTAACATCATATTATGAAAATAGACAATATGCACTGTAAAGAAGTGACCATCGGTATCTGTACTGAACAGAATTACGTATTTTAACAAAATACTCTTTAAAAAAGTTTACGTATAGATTATTGAATATATATATGCTTGTGTAAGTACTATCTTATAAACGTATTTATATATAGTATGTAGGCCTATGTGTCGATGTGTATATATATAGTCTTATAGATATAACAAATAATCTGCACTGTTAAAAGCCCATGCATGTTTTGTTTACGATATTATTTTCGATATTATCTTAAAAGATAGATAATTATAAAACGAAACAAAAAATAACAATAATACAAAAATGAGATATATAATCACGTGACGTATTTTGGCGACAATAGTCACAACTGACTAATCGCCAATAAGCCAAAATACAACAACAACAACTGTAAAATAAAATGTGAATAGCTGCATTGTTCTAGTATTTCTAAGATTCGTTCATATTTCTTTTCATCTTTTTTAATAAAAAAGCTATAAAAAATCAAGTGAGTTTCACTGATTTGTAAAGTGTGATTTATCACAAGATTATACACAATATTACGTATTCTCATGCGAAGCTGCACTGAGTAAGAATCGAATTGGTTGATTTCTGTTAAATTGTGTAACATAAGATTATGTTTGTATGTTCTGCGTACATATCCGGTAATGATCGTTTACCTCCTTACGTGGAGATCATGTGGTCCTCTCGTTCCTTCGCTAAACTCTCATAGCTCAGTCCACCGGTAGATGAGGGTTCGAATCCCAGCTCGGCACTAACGTCCTTTCTTTGAAGACATTAATCCATATTTGGCACTCTCTACCCAGGTGTCGTAAACGGATACCTTTTCGTGCTGAGATAATAATGATTGCAAGGCCCGCAGGAAGAGCGTGTGACTACCCTCGATAAATAAAACCCAATTAGTATATCAATTATTATTTTGTTTAATTATCTTTCTCTTCTCCCGAAGTGATGCCTTTCAATAACGGATTTGTAATCAGGTCGTAGACTTGGGGAAGAATAGTTTTCAAGTATGACTATTCAATGTTTACAAATACATATTAATTTTAAATGAATTAAGAGTACTGAATTGTGACGTCATACTAGCCAAGTTGTCAAGGTTGATGGACCCAAACAATTTTGTGCTAGACCAGGGAGATGTGACTTTGAAGTCTCCCTGGCTAAACAATGGCATGGTGATCATCACCATTTTGCCTGCTCCAGCCCGTTGCTCGAATCATTTCGCGGTAAACCTCCTGCGCAGGCTCTCTTCTTTGGAACCAGTACCCGGGACAACGAACGAATATGACGTCAACACTATGGTACTCTTTTAGGCGATTCCGTGTATTATGCCCAGAATGCGAGAATTTGTTTTCTTCTTCACATAAATCATCCCAAGATCAAGAAGCTATTTATAAAACCGTTGAATGATGGTGGTTTCTGTTATCACTCTCGTTAGTCAGACACATCAAGGGGTGTTTCGGTCAGTGGTGCAAAATGAAGATAAATGTCATAAATATGTGGTATGGAACACCGTATTGCACTAGGCGTTGTGGCGTGCGCCTGTAATCCAGCTAAAAAGTGGAAGTTACAAACTGATTCAGCCGAGGACGCAGGTTCGAAACTGAGTCACGTCTTTCGGATGGTGACGTTTAAAGGTCGGTCCCAGACGTAAATAATCATATCTGATTGATACACGTCTGTAAAAACCCAATACACACACACACACGTATTGCACTGAATCGTTACATGCATGTAAATTGTTTACCTTTTCTTACAATATAACTGAAAGGAGTCGGTGGAAGAAAAAATAACATTCCCTTGCATCACTTAAATAGTTTGTCATTTCTTTCCGAACTTTTTCAGTATTTTTTTCTGTTATCATGTTTGCTTTTTAATAACTTTTCGAATGTATTTCATTAGTATGGTACTATGCTGTGATTTATTGGATTAACCATAACAGATATAAGTCTGTTTTCTGTAATAAAGCTATACAGGTAGACAGGACGCTAGTTATGATTCAGGTTTTCATTTGTGTATTTGTCAATATTCATACCGAAATCACCATAATTATATGCGATAAAGAAGTAAAAGAACAGACTTGGTTTTTTGTTTAATGGAGGCAAGAGAGAGAAAGAGAGAGAGAGAAGGGGTGATACAATTTATTCAATTAATTTTCCATATTAAAAAAACACACAAATATAACAAAGTATTGACACGTTGTAATAAAATCATAATATAAACATAAAAATGGAGGGTTACCCTTAATAAGCAGGGAGGCACGATAGCTCAGTCGGTAGAGCAGTGGTCTCGTAATCCGGTGACCCTGGTTCGAAACCAAGTCGATGCGCTAGTGCCCTTTGGTAAGGCATTAATCCTCATTACCAGGTCTCTCAGAGAGGACCTAAAGCAGCCGGCCGTCTGAATGCTTACAAGCATTTATGCTTTCTTAGCAGTCAGGTAAAAAAAAAAAAAAACAGAACCCCGGTATACAATATTAAATTTGTTAAAGAAATATCTAAACATATTTTGAGAGATTTATAAAACAGCAAAATTATAAATCAGGAAATTGCAATCACCTTACAGGTACTATGTCCCTTTTGCAGCCAACCTCAAATTCTGTAGAACTTTGCAGGAATTATGAATATGTCATGTATGTCCTATCTGTGAAATTTAAACGTTAGCCGTGTGCTAATATTCAAATTATGCAAGGAAACCCATTTACTTCCTAGACTTCACTGTCAGACACTATTGAGTGACTGACTGGCTTTTTTTTTTCTTCTTTGGTAATAATATACATGAAATGAGCTGTAAAGGGTACATGAACGTTTGTCTACATCAATAACCCAATTCTTGTGATGGCCAAAATTAAACTGATTGAATCTTTGCGCAGCATAAAACGTATGACCATTCGGTAAAATGGTCTGAAAATCAAGACTATATTATTGGCTCTATAGCTCCTAAGTCGATTTGACGACTAATAGTCATTATTTTCCCACTTGAAGACATTTTCAAGCCCCACCTTTTTTAGGGAAGTTCTGAATTAGTATCATCTTTCAAATGCTGTTGGAATTTAACCTTTTTCATTTGTTTGGCCTACAAATGGGACATAGTCCCTTTAACAGCTTCTATACATAGACAGATACATGTACACGTTCACAGACACACGTACTTTTTCTTTTCTTTTTTCTCAATAGTTCTTTTATTGATTCCAAACAATACTAATCAATTTTAGAAATAAAATACAGATGTTTTCCCTTGACATGAATTCAAAACATTTTCATTACATAGATTGTACGATTGATGAAAACAAAAATGATATCAGTTGTAACCCCCCCCCCCCCTCACTATTTTCTTTTTGTGTGTGATTTGTGATGAACCCCCCCCCCCCCTCATTTTTTTTCCTGTTAACCCTTACTGTACTGGGCTATTTTGAACACTCTCTGACTGGGGAGGGGGCCTGGGAGGCCCCCCCCCCCCCCATGATCTCGGCCGTCGAATGTCCGATGAACGCGAAAATTTGCATGTTTGTAGATATTAACGTAAGGAACAAGATGGTATACTTAGTTTTTTCCTTATATGCACATTTTTGTCGTTATAGCCTAATTAATTATGCAAAATGCTAATTTTATGCGTTTTACAGAAAACTCTACATATTTGTCCGTAGACTTGTGAAGAATCTTGAAAATGTATTGAATAAATGTTTCCTTCATCTCAAATTCATGAGGTTTCATTATTTTTATGATATTTGAAAATACATAGGTTAATTTGCATAAATTATGAATACGCATTCATAAATATCAAATCTGGAAATATATATAGGGAACTAGAATCATTACAAAAATTGTCAGACACCACTTTTTGAATGTTGAAACTCATTATTCATATGAAACTTCTTTTCTAACACAAAATAGTTTTTTGATTTAATTAATTATGATAATTTATGCAAATTTGATGCGATTTTCAATTATTTAATTTCTTATGTATTTTATTGTTTTTTATTTCTTATTATATTTATTGTTTTATTTCTAATGTATTATTTTGTTTTGAAAGACATCAGGTTACTTTGAGAAACATATAAAAGCATTTTGATATCAATTCATATCTTCACATTTCTGCTTGTACATGAATATATGCAATTATAGCACTTTTTTGGTGACATGCGCATACTAATTGTTATGTAACACCTTACAGGTATATCGGATTTCGACAAAAATGGTATCAAAATGTGCGTAAGACTTGAGGAAAAAAAGTCATGAAACGACAATTCAAAATTCCGAGCGGTTGCGGCGCAATCTCCGAAAATGTCGAAAATGTCGAGGGAGGCCTGGGAGGCCCCCCCCCCAGTACAGTAAGGGTTAATAGAAAGAAGGAAAAAAACGTTTGTTATTTTTGTGTACCAAAGGGTGACCCCCCCCCCCAAAAAAAAAAAAAAAAAAAAAAATGACCCCCGCCCCCCTGAGTCGTTGTGAAATTTTTTGGGACCAAGAAAAACATATATATTACATACTTAAGTCTTCAAGATTATACATTTTACAGTTTCGATTGCTAGATTAAGCCTGGTAGGATTATTCCTTGAAATGCACTGTGCGCTGATACCGGCTGCGGGAGCTAAAGGCTAGGGTATTCATTTCCAAAGCTCATTGGAAGCGCATAGAGGCGTTATTTATTATTTAATCTGATATGCGCTATAAAAGAACCGAATATTATTAAAACTATTATTAAAGGGGTTGACGGGAAACTAATCAAGACTGGAAATGGGTACATTTGAAAAGCACTACTATTGCATAAAATAATCAATCCTTTCCTCAGTCGTTGTTTAATTTGTGCAGAAATGCAAGTGTAACAAAAGATCACTGTGCAGAGAGGCGACAAAAGCAACCGAGGTGTCAAACTGAAACAAAACACTGCTGCCTATTGATGATCAATACAAGACAAAACAACAATTTACTCTTAAGAAATAGAAACAATCATTTTTTTTTGTATTTCAATCTCTTCAGAAGGGTTAGTTTGACTTTTCAAAATAGCCATTCCCCAATGAACGCGTCCCACATTTCGTTAGTCTCGTTGACAGCCTTTTGATGCGTGCTATAATCCAGACAGTCGGCCTGAAACACAGATACTCCGTGTAACTGTTTTTCCTTTGCCATCTCAAAGCGTACAGCGAGACTAGTTGCGTTGTCATACCACACCTGATGCGTTTGCCCAGTTTCAGTATCCTGAGAGAGGGGAAGGATGGATGGAGAGAGAGAAAAGGGGAGAGGGACAGTGTAAAGGAGAGAGAGAGAGAGAGAGAGAGAGATAGATAGAGGAGGGGTGGTCGAGAAAGAGAATGAGAGCGAGGGGGAGAGAAGAAGACAGAGAGGGGGAGGGTATGAAGATAGAGATAGAGAGAGAGAGAAAGAGAGAGCAAGTGATGGGGAGGGAGAAATGCCAATGGAAAGGGAAAGGGAGCACAGCAAAAGGAGTAGGAAGGGATTTGGATGGACATGGAGAAAGAGAGAAGGGGGTAATAAATATAGATTAAAGAAAAAGTTGATTTGTGGGAAAGGTGAGAAAATGTGTTAACATTTTCATTCTATATAATTATGTTAGTATGGAAGAGTATCATAGCAAAAATGTCACCTAGCAAACATCGTTCTTCAAATGCCCTAATATTTGAAATATCGCAAGTAATAGCTCAAAGTTGGGGACCATAACTTTCATGACACTTGTTTTTGCAGTCCCATATTAATTTATGTGTACAGTGCATGTGACCTTTGGCAAAACTGGGCAAGTTTCTTATCATTTTAATGTTTCCTAAACCTGACAGTACATCAATGATTATCTGCTACACGATCAACCTTTTGAAAGCACTTCCACACAGTACTATCTTTAACAATGCAATCGCATGACAAGAACTCAACTTTTATCTTTAAAGGCCGTCTGTACTAGTTTGGCTAAGAAGGATAAGACCACCCAGGATGGTCACTGACAGGTGGCTATCTCATCAACTCAGCTCTCAATTAACATAAGAAAAAGAGGATCATGGGGGACCAATTGTAACCGATTAGGCATTGTTTTCTATATAGAGGGAGCAAGTAGCTACAAGTTGTACAGTGGGGCTTTAAAAGGAACTTCCTAAAAAACGATAATTTTAAAAAAATAAAACAACCTTCTCATTTTTGTATGTTACCTTGTAATCAAAATATGGAGACTGGTCGGCTTCGCTCCATTTTCGACCTGTCGTAGAGTTGTTATCCAGGAGTTTCATGATATCACCAAAGGCGCTCTGTCGCTGGGTGGACAGTTTATAGAGGCAAACGTCACTCTATGAAAACCATGCAAAACGTAAAAATGAGACTAAGTTTTCTTAAAGGGATCCGGTAACTTTGTCTTAGATCCTTTAAAAAAAAATCCTTGATTTAGCTCATGCTGCAATGATAGCTATAAACCTTTATGTCCGTTAGTTAGGAGCACCGTGACTTTTACAATCCGATCGCCTGTCTGATTATCAAGATATTTATGATTGAAAATCGAAATCAAATTTTGCGTTTGCCAAACGGTTTTCATAACACTACAGTCTATTGGGGGAAACGAGTATGGTAAAACCGGTCACTCAAATATTTTTTTCTTTTTTGAGGCACTTAATGATAATTTTGAAGCGAATCTTTTGTAGAGCTTCAATATTACACCATATCACAGAAACTGATAACAAGTAGGGCCATGCTTCTCAGATTTAACATTTAAACGATGCCTTTAAATGATATAATATAATATAGGCCTACCATTATTATCGTCATCATCTTAATTATTATTGTTCTGTTATCGTATATTTCTATTACAATTAGTATTATTATTATTATTATTATCATCATCATCATCTACATATCATCATTATTTCGATTCTTATTGTTGTAATTGTACTATTTGTTGTTGTCGTCATCTCTATTAATATCAATATTACTCTCTAAAAAAAATCGAGTGATCACGGACGTCACTCCTCTGGAAAGTGAAAATGTAGTGAAAATAGAGTGAACATTCACTCTTTTCTTCTTAGAGAGCACTCTAAAATCAATCGATATTCACTCTTAAACAAGTGATCACGGACGTCACTCCCAAGAAAGTGAAAACAGAGTGAAAATTCACTCAAAATATTGTTAAAAAAGCTAAAACTATTATTTTGTCGTCATCATCATAATCTTCATAATCTTACATTCAGTTGTGCCGCTCCTAAGCTTTGGAATAACCTACCACTAGACATCAGAAAAGTCCCATCTGTTGCTGTCTTCAAAGATTTTTTGAGGACGCACTTGTTTTCATGAGCTTTTGAATAGTTTTCTTCATTGTGTATCTTTAAAGAAGCACTGTCAAATGGGTGTAGTTTGCCGAGACAAGTCGTTCCCGTGGTCTGACTCGGGGTCAATCGACTACGGAAGACGCGACCGCAGTATTCACGTGCATGCAAACTACTCGAAAACGAAGCGTGAGGAGAACTTCTGTTTTGTTTCGCAAACGGCAGTGCGCGCCGTCCGTTAATCTAGTCCATAAACGTGCACTTGTCCCCAAAAAAGTCGTGGATGGCGTTATGCTGTATTTGCCATGATACAGCCCCTTTAAGATTTTCGTTTTGATCATAGCGCACTAGACTATATGTGAATATAGCTGCGCTATAACAATTGATTTAATTATTATCGTCATTATTACCTCTGTCAGCATCGAACAGGGGAAGTCATACCCATACCAGGGAACAATAAGAACAAGCTTGCTCGAGGGAACACCGGCTTTGACGAAGTCGTCTACACCTAGAGGAACACAACATCAACAGCAAACTTAGTTTAATATTAATAGGAATAATAACCGTTCATTACTCTTATTCATATTATGATAACCAAGCGCTGTTATAGAAAAATAATAATACGGGGAGGGACTTTAAGGTGGGTTTGGATTTTTGTTTCGTTTTTGTTGGTACATAATTATACCTCGCTTAATGTGATTTATATTAAATATAATTTATATATATATATATATATATATTCGTTTTCTAATACATTTGGGTATACATTTTCTTTTCTTATTGATATAAATGTTATACATTTTAAATTAAACATTAAATTTTTTAAATTATTATATCATCATAATCACGATGATCGTACATTGTTTTATATAATTCGCCTTTTCGCCTTTTCCCCCTTTCCTTTCGATAATAATTTTATGTGTATTATTTTTTCCCCGTTGTATACGGTCCTGTGTATTCAGGCACTAATCTAGGCTTGAATGTTCCCTTGAGCATGCTTTATCTTGTATGATTAATGAATTAAATATCATTTAAAATATATACTTTGGGGGGGGGGCAGAGCTTGCCAGCCCCATGAACCGCTTCTAGGCTGCGTTTCACAAATCCTTTGTCCAATGACAAATTACTAAAGATCAGTGACAAATATGCTGACAACTAATCAGAAGTAAGGATTTCAGTAGCTTACAACAAAAACTGTCATTTGTCACTGATGACAAGTTTTGTGAAACGCCCCCCTGATAAGAACCATTTGGGCCCATTAGAACACATTGGCCCGAATTCACAACGGAGGTTTGTGGACAAACCTCCTTTTGTTCTTTACAAACCAGGTTTGTAAAAAGCGCGTAAAAACGCATCATGACGTACGAAAACCAAGGTTTGTCGACAAACCTCCTTTGAGAATTCGGGCCAAGGTGGACGGGTTTCTTTTACCTTTGGTTGTTTTATTGAGTGGTGCATTGGCCATAGCCCTGCCATCGACAACGAGTTCATCGTAGGCCATGATCATGATGTAGTCGACGATCTCGCCGATGGCACGGTAGTCGTAGCACCGCCCGAACGTACACTCCGCCGAATATGGAGAATCAAGCGTTACCTTGAGAAAAGATAATTGAAATAAAAATGGGGAAAAACAATGAAAATAAAATTCCTCTATCTGTACAATTGCTATTAATGTAGTGGTAGTGGTTGTTATTTTACCTGACTGCTAAGAAAGCATTAATGCTTGTTAGTAAGCAACCAGAGGACCGACGGCTTAAGGTCCTCTCCGAGAGACCTGGTAATGAGGAGTAATGCCTTACTAAAGGGCACTAGCGCATCACCTTGGTTTCGAACCCGGATTACGAGACCACTGCTCTACCGGCTGAGCTATCGCGCCTCCATCCACTGTTACAAATAAAAATTGAACTGAATTGAATTTAACTTTATTTGTTTCCAATCACAGTAAAAATGACATTACTCATTGTTGTAAAACATAGGCAAAGTAAAATACATTGACACACATTTTTGTATATATACATTGGAAAAAGAAAAAAAAAGAAAAGGAAGACATGATTAAATCTACTAAAAGTATAGGATGGATAAAGGTGCACCCGTAAAATGGGCACCCCCTGAGCGCGCCCCAATATAATTAACAATAAAAAAAAAACTCAGTCAGCTGGAAAAGAGTAAAGGGATAAACAACGCTCACAACTTGAAAGATGATAATAAGTGCTGCTTAAGTTTACGTTTAAATGGTTTGGTGAACTAAATTGATTGTAAAGATTGTTGTAATGTGTTCCAAACTTTAGGGCCATTATGGCGAAGAGAAATTGTATCAGTGCTGGAAGATACTTTCCACTGGTGAAACTTTGTATTTCTTGTATTGTAATTGTTTATTGTGTATTTTTGTCAGTAAATGATTTGTTTTTTTATTGATTCAAAATGCCCTTGTTCCCTAAATCAGTGGACTAAAAAGAAGAAAATAATAATAAAAGTGCGCCTATCATAAAAAGAGAGAAAGAAGGGGAGAAGAATTATTTCAATCGTGTGTCAACATAATTCATGAAATGCAAGTCGAGTCTTATCAATGATCATTCCCTTTGTAGTTAAATCCACTTCTTTTTTTCTCCCCTTTTTTCTTGAGGTTAAATATCATCACAAAATGAAGCGACCCTAATAATGACTCGCCATCCTCTCTCTTCCTCTCCATAAAACGTGAGTTTTCCAATTTGTATTCACGTTGTATTTTAAAGTTCTTGCTATGTATAATACTATAAGTCATATACATTGTAACTGTCTTGTTATATTTTGTGCCGATAGCCGGAGTACCGGACCTGCTCATACACTTTTTCTTTATAGAGTCTTGACGCCCTTCTGGCTTTCAGCACACGACACCATGTGTTTGTTTTATGTTTTACATGTTACACGTTACACCAATGGAAAACAAATTTCTGTATTATATATGGACAATAAAATCTTGAATCTTGAATCTTGAATCTCATATTTTAGGCATTACAGGAGTTCTTGAAACTATCCGAAACTCACTTGGGCGTACGGCAGGGCCTTCTTAAACGCGTCTTTGATTTGTCTGACCATGTCTGTCAGGTAATGAGCCTGCGACTTCTGGAGAGATTGTTCAAAATCTATGTTAAATCCGTCAGTGAAGTTGCCAACAGCCGACTGCACAGTTTGCTCGACCCAGGCGGTGCGGGCGCTCTCATTGAAAAGAGTCTCCAAGGAGCATGCACCTGTTATGAATTGATTTTAAAAAAACAAGAGCGAATATGCTTTATTTCTAACCAGTTGATCACGAAGTAAAAATATCAACATCATTGCCATTTATTTATTGCTTGATTATGACCATGACAAGACAGCACTTATTTTGAATGAGTAGAGCAATGGATTGAGGTGTTGTGGTGTAGTGCATTCACTTGACTCTCAACCCAAAGGTTGAAGATTCAAATCCAAGCCCGGCAATTAAGTCCTTTGGCAAGACCTATTTGCAACTCTCCAACCAGCTGTTTGATCTGGCACCTGCTGGGTTAATACATAACTGCAGAGGCCTAACAAAAAACTGTTTCAATGCAGAGGACGTTGGCTCGGGAAAAAATAGTTGTTATAATAAATATTATTATTATCTGGTTACGTATTATTAGATATAATTCATTCAAAGTATAAAGCCTCATATCAAACCGCTTAAAGAGAAGGTTGAGTTCTGGGGAGAGGTGAAAAACAATTTGTGAGCGTTATCATTTTAAATATGCAAGTGTGGAAGAACATCGGTGAAAAAATGTTCCCCGAAAAGCATGTCTCCTCAAATGCCTCCATATTCTAAATACGACAAGAACCCGCTCAAAAATGAGGCCCGATTTTTATGCCACATGTGTGTGTGTAATACCATATACCTCTTTCTGTGTACAGTGCTTGTTACTATCCAAGACTAGGCCAAATTTGTGATAATTTTGATGACTCCAGAACCTTACAGTATATGCTACATGATCAACTTCTCTTGACCGATTCCGCACCGTTTCTTTCATAATGCAATCGCATGACCAGAACTCAACTTTATCTTTAAGTTAAGGCTTGTTGTTGTTACGAATTTCAATTCAATGTTGCCGATGTGAGGACTTCACGCACGTACAGCTCATTTGAACTCACCCCTCATAACAATCCTCACTCCTTTGGAGTGGGCGTGGCACATCATCTGTGGATCGAACCCATCTCCTACGATCACGGCTGTGATGTTATCCCAGAAGTAATGTCTCCAATCGGCTCCGCTGCCAGAAAATGCCACCACCTGTAAAATGAGAGAAGGTAATAATTGATTACGCTTTAAAGCCCCACTGCACTACTTCAGTGCCATTGATTAGGAGAGTTTGGCCAACCCGGTTCGATTTGGTCACAATATGGCGACTGCTGCTTTGTTGGGCAAGCACAAAACAAAATAATATACGCCATGTTGTGACCCAGAGAAACCAAGTTGGCAAAACTCTGTGTATAGATGGCTCTGCACTACTTATACTACTTGCGCCCTCTATATTGCAAACAATGCCTAAGCGGTGACCATTGGTCCCCATGGTCCCCTTTCTCTTCTGTTGATTGAGAGCTGATTTGATGAGATAAACGACTGTCAGTGACCTTGCAGGGAGGTCTAATCCCTCATGGCCAAACTAGTGCAGATAGGTTTAAAGCAGTTGACTCTCAAGCCTGCAGAGAATAAGAATCCTAACCCGGTACCAGTACGTCCTAATTTCGCAAGGCACCAATCTATATTTGCCACTCTCCATCCAGGGGGCGTTTCACAAAACTTGTCATCAGTGACAAATGACAGTTTTTGTTATAAGCTACTGAAATCCTTAATTGCTTCTGATTGGTTATCAGCAGATTTGTCACTGATTTTTGTCACCTGTCGTTGAAAAAAGGCTTTGTGAAACGGGTCCCGGGTGTAAATGGGTACTTGGCAATTCCTGGGACAATAATGATTATTGCAGGGTCCTTTTTAAGAACAGCATTGTAGCAGATAAGGGTTCCCGGAGCTGGCCTATTAAACATGATATTGTTATTACGCCTACTATTAAAACTGTGCACAGGTTTAAAAAAATATATATGTTTCGTGACATAATAATCATACCCACCTCTTTCTTTGCAGTGGTTCGTATGGGATCACACAATGTATGATTGGAACATGGGCAGGGCGCTGGGTTGAAAACCATTCCATGAGCGAACCATGCCAATCCAGTGACTGAAAACACACAAACAACCAGCATACGTGGGACTAGGAACGCCATTTTGGTTAATTGCTGACTTCCCAATACACCTTGACTGTGAATTATGAAGAATATTACATCTTGTGCCAAAGTCTATATTTCATGTGATCAGACAAAATAATATTAGATAAAATACGAACTCTTGTGATCAGTATATTGATAAACCTGGTTGGGGGCGTTTCGCATAATGCATGTTTGCTCAGGTGATTAAAGGGACATATTAAACGGCACAAAATAGGGCTTATCTTTGTACTTTGGTTCAATAATTGGAATCATAATTTCCATAAAATGATTTGAATTCAAAGATTACCTGTGCATTGATACTGAAAATTAATATAGATTGACTCCAAAGGCCTATACTTTCACTGTCCCAGCAAGATCTGATTGCAAATTTTGTATGTAGGCCCAAACATAGACATCGATGTTTTCTTGTGCTATTTCTCCCATAATTTGCTAAATCTTGTATGGAGACCTTTAACATACTTAATAGACATCACTGAAGTAATGTTTGGGGGAGGGTGGGGGCACGGGGCTGATGCCCCCAAAATGTCCTAGACAACATAAAGGGAGGGGGGGGGGGGGGGCTAAGGACAGAGAAAGTTTGGGTTAGGTTATCTTCCCCTGGAAAGTTTGACATTTACAAATAATGATGATAACGCTGATTGTATATATAATATAGCAAGTAATTACCGTTAGTGAAGGTGATGGGACTAACTATATCACTTCCGAGGCGATCTGGATGTAGCCCCCCCCCCCCCCCCCCCCACTCAGTGTTATTTAGGGTTCGCATATGCGTGTTCCCTCCTTTTGAAAACACCCCCTAAGTCCGGTGTGTAAAGTCCATTTTGTGTATGTACGAGCCGGACTTTGGTGCGTGAAAAGTACCCCTTTACCGGACATTTTGGTAACACGCATGCGGTCATTCCGACCCCGGAGTGGGGGGGGGGGGGGGGGGGGTGTAGCTATATAGCGTATACATTCAGATCGCACACAGTACAACGCACTTTCACCGAAGATAGTACACAGTGTAACGAACTTTTCTTCTCCCATCACTGATGACGTGCGAAACTATGTTTCATCACGTGACTAACTTTTGACCAATCGTAGAGCAAGACTCTTGTATGCAGGCGCGTACGCCCCCCTCCAAAACACACTCATAAAAAAAGTTAAAGGGGGGGGGGGGTTCAACCCCAACCCCAACCCCCCCTTTAACTTTTGTTATGTGTGTGTTTTGGAGGACCCCCCCCCTTTATTTTTGTTTTAATAATAAAGATTTAAAAAATTTTAAAAATGTGATAATGGATGACCCAAATAAGCTGACATTACCCCCCCCCCCCCCCCCCCTAACGAAATATCGATTGGCAATATTTTCAAATTTCTAGACCAAAAGAAGAAAAAAATGTCCTCTGATATTTTCTGATTAACTTTTCTTTCTTTTTTCTACTTCGTTCTATTCATCTTTCTAGTTCAGTCTTTCTTTCTCTCTCTCTCCTTTTTTGCGGATGACACAGAATGTTTCTTAATGTTTTTAATATTTGTAATATATTTAGATTTTGATGTAATATTTGTAACATATTTACATTTTGATGTAATATTCGTAATATATATTTAGATTTTTATGTAATATTTGATTTTCATTTTGTTTCATTATGCATGATTCATAATCGTACGGTTTAGTCATTAATATTTTGATCATTTATTGTGTTGTATATTGACTTTGTCTTCCCCGCTGCATGTTCTTTTATTGCAATAAACCGAATTAAAACAAAATTGAGGGGAGGGGGGGGGGGGGTAACCACCACCCCCCCCCCCCCCCCTGCGTACCCGCCTGGGCGTACTGAAGGGGAGGGGGACTTGGGCAGTAACTCCCCTAATTAAATTCAAACGTGGATTATTTCCAAGCTTAGCCTAGCCGTTCACCTGGTTGCTCATCTGACCGTATTTTAATGCCTAAACCCCTGAACTTCCGGGGGCCCTGTCTATACTTGACCCCATCAAGGGCCTTAAAGCGGACCCTGGATGCTGATCTGATCGTAATTATACCTAAGACCCCTGAGCTTCAGGGGGCTTCGCCCCTTGGACCCCACTCCAATTAGTGACCTGCATGCTAGTGTCTCAAATACGGTATCAAAATATGCTCATCTGATCGTAATCAAATGCCTAAAAACGTCTGAGCTTCCGGGGGCTCCGAACCCAGGATCCCCCAGGGGCCCTGTATAAGGCTGGCTCCTGGATGCTCATCTGACCGTAATTAAATGTCTAAAAACGCCTGTGCTTCACGGTGCTCTGCCCCTTGACCACCGCCGGCTTTGCCCCTGGACCCCACATCAATTTACGCTCCACTTGATTCGTTTGCTTTAATGCTCTACCTGATCGTAAATACTTTAGCCCCCCCCCCCCCCACTTTGAAAAACGTTCAGAGGGGCCAGCGGATTTTTCTGCCCCCCAAAAAGAAATATATACATATATTTTCTATTACCCCCCCCCCCCACCCCCTACCCCCCTACCCCCCCCCCCCCCCCCCTATTAGCATGTTCGATCCCAAACCCCACCCTCCTGCGTACGCGCCTGCCTACCTCTATACAAAATGGGGTCGCACCATCTACCACGGTACCGATGTGCGATTTCCCGGAGACGAGGTTGCCGAATCCTGACATTTCGTAATCAAAGCGTGCGCTATGTAAACGTAAACACAACTTTTCACTCGCTAGCTAGCTCATGCGCGTGTGTATTGTACATGTACACATGCTTGTTGGATCTAAATTGTTTTACAAATTATCCGACATGGATCCTAAAAGTACAAGTACATTCTGTTCTCTGTACTACTGTAGACCTAAACGAAGAGAAACCCCTGTCACGGCTGATACAACTTCTGCTTCGAAATCAAAGAAAACGAAAAAGGTTTGTTGGTTGTTTTTGTCCAGACAGACAGGTAGTGCAGCAACCAGGAACCGGGCTCGGGGATCTCCCGGCCCTGGATCTCTCCGTCCTACGTACGTACCCTACTTTTTCTTGCTTGATTCATTTGTTTCCTTCTTGTGTGGTGAGAAGAAGAAGAAGAAAGAAGGAGAAGAAAAAAAGGAGAAGAAAAAAGGAGAAGAAGGAGGAGGAGAATTGTGATATTGTTTTGAATGAATGTCTAGCTCTTTCATGACTCTTAGTCTTGGCACTTCCCAGCGCCAGTCTATACAGCAGATATGTGAATTTAAATTAAAATGCCTATAGATCTAGGCCTACCTATAAGTGTAACCATGCACATATTCGTTGTAAATTACATTTTCATTTGCTGCATATGGCCACATCCACAGGTTTATACATTAATTATCTTTGGTAGACCTATATTGAGGCAGAAGAAAATCAGAAAGGAGAGGGGTAGAATTTATAGGAACCCATGGCCATGTTCATTTCCAATTATCTTTGACCTTGTCTCCTTTTTATTTTGTGCCTGTGTGTATGCAGTCTGCTGAAAGTTTGAGAGTTGAGACGCCGGATGCCCAACCTTTACAAAGTACCAGAAACACACATAAGGTGAAGTCCTCGCTGACGAGGATTGATGTCTTGAAGGAAAATGTTATTGTTAAATGGAGATGTCTTAAAGGAGAAAGGAGAGGCCAGGAGAAGGTGAAGAAGGAACAGATGGAGGAGGAGGAGGAGGAGGAAGAGGAGGAGGAGGAGGAGGAGGAGGAAGAGGAGGAGGAGGAAGAAGAAGAGGAGGAAGAAGAGGAGATGATGGTTGATATCGAACCTCTGAAAGAAGAGCCAGACTCTGAAATGGTAAGCATCGATCAGGGAAAACAAAATCAGAAAAAATGTGTACAATTTCAAAAGAAGAAAACAAAATGTAATGTATTTATTGGAACTGTCTTTGAATTCCTGTTGAAACATTTTGCTTAATTATCTTTCTTGGAAACCCAAATTTTAGTTTTGAATTTTCGTCAGGTTCGTTTTTTGTTTTGTTAATTTTTCTTTTCTTTCTAATATTATTACAAAGCTGGGTTTCATGAAATCCATATTTATATGTGCTTTAAACTTAGCTAGCTCATTATTGCATGTTCATGAAAAAGCAACCCTGCAACTTTACCTGAAATTTTGAAAAGGGGCCATTCCA